AATAATTGTTCTACCTAATTCGTGAACTTGTTGTGAAAATTATTTAATTGCACATAAAGCAGTTAGAACAAAGGTGAACAGAGCATATCCTAATAACAAACATGTGCCGTTATTACTATAGTATTAGAGCAAGCCTTGTGCTGCCTTTTATTCTTATGTATGGTTCTTAAAGTCAGAAATCATCCTCTGTGTATACATAAATAACTATAAATATTTCCCATTATAAACTTTCAAGATCATCTAGGGAACTTAGATGATGTTCTTCCATAAAAACATGATAAAATCATTACCATTATGATTATTACTATTGTTACTGGAAACTACAACTTATTGTGCTGGGTACCATGCTAATTATTGTATCCTTCAATGTTTACATTAACATGATGATATAGATATTCCCAGTTACTTAACATCTCTGTATTTTACATAAATTATTTCAACATAAGTAACTATTCCCGTATCACTTAACTGATCAATGTTAGGATTCAAACTGACAATATCTGACTTCTTAAGCAAATCAGTATTTGTATTTTACTTTTCCTTCTACAAATACTAGATTGAATTAGCTGAGCTGCTTACTGAGAAACTTGATGCTCAGTTGCTTTTTCTCTAGTATCCAAAGTGCCATATCTTCATTTATGCATGTTATCAATTATTTTTAAGTACACTGACATCATGTGTCATTTGTAAGCTATATTGATTCAGTTCTTCTTTCATAGCATTCACTCAGTTACCAGAATTTGACTTCTCTAGGCAATTGTACAAAAATGTATGCTTTTATTGTCTCTTCTGATTCTAGGATTCCAAAGTTCTTTTCTCCTGATAATTCTTAAATTTATCCACACAGTAAACAGTGAGATTAGATTTTGCTTCTGCATTCTTCAATTGAGTATAATGGAATTTAGGAGACAGAAGGTATAGCTTGGAATTATAAGATGTGTCATTTGCTAGCTCTGTAAGCTTCCTAAAGTAATTAAACTTCTCTGAACTTCAATTTCCATAAAAATAACATTAGTTTAATATTTCAAGGATTTCCTGTAAACTAATAAAATAGGTAGCAAGTCTGCTTTGTGAATGTTAAATATTAATATATCTGTTGTTACTCTTTTGTATGTCAGAATTTCCAATGATAGAATATCTGAACTAAAATGAAAGTCAACGGTCCATTTCTGAATATTAGGTCGCATTACTAAAGGATTCTGTAAAATATGCTTTTCAGAATGTATTGAGCACCCAAGTATCAGGCAACAATCAGTGAGCATTGCCTAGAAACAGAACAATAAGATAATGACTATCTGAGGTCCCTAATGACCCTGTAAATCTGTGACTTGTTTCCAACTACGTTACACTCTTAAAGTAGAATAAAATAATGTATATGATTGTCAGAAGGAAATGAAATCTCCAAATCATGTAAATTTTTGTTCTTCCCAAAGCTTAAGAAAACATACTGAGAAAGGTTTGCACTTCAAGACTCTTGTACTGAGTTGAGCACCCTTCCCAGCAGAATTCATGGCCACCTGGAACTTATGAATGTGTCCCTATTTGAAATACCATCTTTAGGGATGTAATCAAGTTAAGATGAGGTCACACCAGATTAGACTAAGCCTCAACCCAGTAATGGTGTTCTAAAGGGAAATTGGATATGTAGATAGAGAGAAAACCACCACCGGAAGGAGGCAAGGATTGGTTATGACACCTCAAATGAACTCTAAAGATTGCCTGCAACCAATGGACGAAGCAGGCAAGGACTCAACCCTGGCATCTTCAGTGAAAGCATTATCCTGACTACACCTTAATTTCATATTTCAGCCCCCCAGAAATGTGAGAGAATAATTTCTCGTATTTTAAATTACTCAGTTTGTGGTAAGTTGTTATCATAGCCCTAGGAAACTAAGAGTGCCTGGTAATTTTCAGTTTCTGAGGTACTGTTAAGAGAGTTGTAACACAAGCAAATAAAAGCCAGACTTTGTCTTAAAAGACTCAAAAAAAAATTAAAAACAAGACTTTGGTGTCAGACCTACCTGTGATTAGTTGACTTTGCCACTTACATATGACATGAGAGATTTTATCTAGGTTTCATTTTCCTCTTCTGTGAAATGGGGATGATACTTTCTATGGTTATTTTGACCAAGTACCTTAGAATAGTGTCTGGTTAGTGATAAATATAAGTAGTAGTAAATACTATCACTGTATGATGTTATTATTACTGATACTAACATCAGACAGAATCTGAAAGATCCTTCTTCTAAGAAGTATAAGATAGTCCAGGACTATAATTCCTCATGATTTTTCTTGTGAATACAGAATCAAAATCTATACATTCATATTGTGTATGTAGAACTGAGATCCAAAGAAGTATGCTCCCATAGTCACACTGATTCATGAGGTAACAAAAGGATGAAAGGGCTGGAGAAATGGCTCAGTAGTTAAAAGCACTGGCTGCTCTTGCAGAGAACCCAGGTTCAATTGCTAGCACCCACATGTTGGCTAACAACTGTCTGTAACTCCAGTTCCAGAGGAATCCAACACCCTCTTATGACCTCCATGGGTACTGCATGACATGGGTGCACTTACACACATGCAAGCAATACACTCATACATATAAAATAAAAATAATAAAATTTTAAAAAGGATTAAAACCTAAGTCATCCAAAACACAGATTTGAATATCATATACTATATCAACCTTTGTGATCTAGGACTCAGAAAAAAATTAAAGACATATCTCCCTATCTTCTACACTAAAATATGATAATATATTTCTTTTGCTTTATAAATACATTTCAAAGATATTCTCACTCAGCACGGTGCTATCAATAATTTAAAGATGTTGACTAGAAGAATATATTCCTTTCTCCACACTTGAAATGAGGATCAGGGATGAGTTAGCCATTAGAAATTTAATATGACCCAAGAATGGGGTGAGGCTAAAAGATGAACTTAAGAATAAGCTGGACATCAGGCATCATCCATCATGCAGAATTAAGAGTAATGCACTGCCCACATTTGGTCATCTTCCCAAAAGGCCATTAAGGATTGTAAGTAAAAGTTCTGCCCATTCTCTGCAAATTTATTTAGATTTGTAATGGTTTACATACTAAGTTCTCTAGGTTTTCCCTTAGTGTTAAATGAGTGTAATTACTTGCCTTTACAAAAATTGATGTACTTCATAAGTAATAAAGCTGCTATGGATTTGAGCCACCCCCCAAAAATTCATAGATGAAATCTAACCCCCCAGTGTCTCATAATGTAACTTTATTTTAAGATGGAACCTTTAAAGGGGTAACTAAGTTAAAATGAGGTCAGTAGAGTGGTTCCTATTTCAGTGTAATTGGTGTCATCAAAAGACAAGGGGATTTGGAGACAGGTGGGTACCAAAAGAAGACCCTGTGAAGACAGAGGAAGAAGATGACTATGTGCACGCCAAGAAGAGAGATCTGAGAAGGAAGCAGCATCTCTCTGACACCTTGGTCATGGATTTTAGTCTAGAATTGTGAGAAAATAAATTTCTATTGTTTAAGTCACTCAGTCTATGGTACTTTATTGTGGCCTAAGAAAACTGACACAAGAGTTTAATTAAATGTCCATTTGAAAATTAAGAGCATAGAAATACCTGCTTTGTGTCAGCTTCTCAGTTATGCTAACTTTAATTTATTCTTGATGTACTAAAATATATCAGAAGGATAAGAAACTGCTGGGAGGGAAAAATCTTATGCCACAGTAAGATATTTTATCGTTACCTCCAAATTGTATTGGCAGTCTTCAGCATGGTTTTGAGTGCTCTTTATCTTTTCTATGTTTTAAATTTTTTAATTAATTCAGGCGGAGCCCCAATATGTAGCCAAGACTGGCCATGAATTGCAACCCTCCTGCTTCAGGCTCCCAAGTGGTGAGATCTACACTTGTGCACCACCACATCCAACAAATTTTGTTTTCTTATGGCATTGAAGATTGAACCCCAGGCAGGATTGGCAAGCACTCTACCACTGAGCCACATCCCTGGCCAGTGTTCTTAATAGTATCTGATTTTGAAAGAGACATGCTATACATCTGCCAAAACTTGATATATAGATTATATAAGGAACCCTAAAAACCAGCCCAGACTCAAATAAACCAATTTGAAATTGGACAATAATGCTAAGTAGACATTTCTCAAAAGAAAACATCCA